GTGCAGGTAGAACGAGGGGGGGCCAGGGCAGAGCAGGTAGAGCGGGTGGCCAGGGCGGCGCAGGTAGAGCGGGTGACCAGGGCGGAGCAGGTAGAGCGGGCAGAGCAGGTAGAGCGGGTGACCAGGGCGGAGCAGGTAGAGCGGGCGGAGCAGGTAGAGCGGGCAGAGCAGGTAGAGCGGGCAGAGCAGGTAGAGTAGGGGGGTCAGGGTGGAGCAGGTAGAGCGGAGGGGGGGGCCAGGGCGGAGGAGGTAGAGCGGGGGGGGGGCCAGGGCAGAGCAGGTAGGGCGGGGGGGCCAGGGTGGAGCAGGTAGAGCGGGGGGGGCCAGGGCGGAGCAGGTAGAGCGGGGGGGCCAGGGCGGAGCAGGTAGAGCGGGGGGGGGCAGGGCGGAGCAGGTAGAGCGGGGGGGGGCAGGGCGGAGCAGGTAGAGCGGGTGGCCAGTACGGAGCAGGTGTTGCGGGGGGCCAGGGTGGAGCAGGTGTAGCGGGGGGCCAGGGCGGAGCAGGTAGAGCGGGTGGCCAGGGCAGAGCAGGTAGAACGGCTGGTTAGGGCGAGCAGTCCGTGCGGGTGGCCAGGGCGGAGAAGGTAGAGCATCCCGCTCTCCAGGGCGGAGCAGGTAGAGCAGGGGGGCCAGAGCGGAGCAGGTAGAGCAGGGGGGCCAGGGCGGAGCAGGTAGGGCGGGGGGGCGGGGGGGCAGGGCGGAGCAGGTAGAGTGGGGGGGGGGGCAGGGCGGAGCAGGTAGAGTGGGGGGGGGGCAGGGCGGAGCAGGTAGAGCGGGGGGGGGGCCTGGGTGAAGCAGGTAGAGAGGGGGGGCAGGGCGGAGCAGGTAGAGCGGGGGGGGCAGGACGGAGCAGGTAGAGCGGGGGGGGCAGGGCGGAGCAGGTAGAGCGGGTTGGCCTGGGCGGAGCGGGTTGGCCTGGGCGGAGCAGATAGAGCGGGGTGCCCTGGGCGAAGCAGGTAGAGCGGGCGGCCAGTGCGGAGCAGTCCGTGCGGCTGGCCAGTGCGGAGCAGGTAGAGCGGGGGGTCAGGGCGGAGCAGGTAGAGCAGGGGGGCCAGAGCGGAGCAGGTAGAGTGGGGGGGCCAGGGCGGAGCAGGTAGAGTGGGGGGGCCAGGGTGGAGCAGGTAGAGCGGGTGGCCCGGGCGTAGCAGGTAGAGCGGGTGGCCCGGGCGGAGCAGGTAGAGCGGGCGGAGAAGGTAGAGCGGGCGGAGCAGGTAGAGCGGGGGGGGGGGGGCCAGGGCAGAGGAGGTAGAGCGGGGGGGGGGGGGGGGCCAGGGCAGATCAGCTAGGGCGGGGGGGCTAGGGCGAAGTAGATAGAGCGGGGGGGCCAGGGCGGAGCAGGTAGAGCGGGGGGGGGGCAGGAAGGAGCAGGTTGAGCGGGGTGGCCTGGGCGGAGCAGGTAGAACGGGGTGCCCTGGGCGAAGCATGTAGAGCGGGGGGGCCAGGGCCGAGCAGGTAGAACGAGGGGGGGCCAGGGCGGTGCAGGTAGAACGAGGGGGGGCCAGGGCAGAGCAGGTAGAGCGGGTGGCCAGGGCGGCGCAGGTAGAGCGGGTGACCAGGGCGGAGCAGGTAGAGCGGGCGGAGCAGGTAGAGCGGGCAGAGCAGGTAGAGCGGGCGGAGCAGGTAGAGCGGGCAGAGCAGGTAGAGCGGGCAGAGCAGGTAGAGTAGGGGGGTCAGGGTGGAGCAGGTAGAGTGGAGGGGGGGGCCAGGGCGGAGGTGGTAGAGCGGGGGGGGCCAGGGCAGAGCAGGTAGGGCGGGGGGGCCAGGGCGGAGCAGGTAGAGCGGGGGGGGGGCCAGGACGGAGCAGGTAGAGCGGGGGGGGGCCAGGGCGGAGCAGGTAGAGCGGGGGGGCCAGGGCGGAGCAGGTAGAGCGGGGGTTGCAGGGCGGAGCAGGTAGAGCGGGTGGCCAGTACGGAGCAGGTAGAGTGGGTGACCAGGGCGGAGCAGATAAAGCGTGTGGCCAGGGCAGAGCAGATAGAACGGCTGGCCCGGGCGGAGCAGTCCGTGCGGAGCAGTCCGGGCGGAGCAGGTAGAGTTTGGCAAGGCGGAGCGCAGGTAGAGCGGGTTGGCCTGGGCGGAGCAGGTAGAGCGGGGTGCCCTGGGCGAAGCAGGTAGAGCGGGTGGCCAGTGCGGAGCAGTCCGTGCGGCTGGCCAGTGCGGAGCAGGTAGAGCGGGGGGTCAGGGCGGAGCAGGTAGAGCGGGTGGCCAGGGCAGGGCAGTCCATGCGGCTGGCCAGGGCGAAGCAGGTAGAGTGGGTGACCTGGGCGGAGCAGATAGAGTGGGTGACCAGGGCGGAGCAGATAAAGCGTGTGGCCAGGGCAGAGCAGGTAGAACGGCTGGCCCGGGCGGAACAGTCCGTGCGGGTGGCCAGGGCGGAGAAGGTAGAGCGGGTGGCAAGGACGGAGCAGATAGAGTGGGGGGCCAGGGCGGCGCAGGTAGAGCAGTTGGCCAGAGCGGAGCAGGTAGAGCGGGTGGCCAGGACGGAGCAGATAGAGTGGGGGGCCAGGGCGGCGCAGGTAGAGCAGTTGGCCAGGGCGGAGCAGGTAGAGCGGGTGACCAGGGCAGAGCAGGTAGAGCGGGCAGAGCAGGTAGAGTAGGGGGGTCAGGGTGGAGCAGGTAGAGCGGAGGGGGGGGCCAGGGCAGAGGAGGTAGAGCGGGGGGGGCCAGGGCAGAGGAGGTAGAGCGGGGGGAGCCAGGGCAGAGGAGGTAGAGCGGGGGGGGGGCCGGGGCCAGGGCAGAGCAGGTAGGGCGGGGGGGCCAGGGCGGAGCAGGTAGAGCGGGGGGGGGGCAGGGCGGAGCAGGTAGAGCGGGGGGGGGCCAGGGCGGAGCAGGTAGAGCGGGGGGGCCAGGGCGGAGCAGGTAGAGCGGGGGGGGGCAGGGCGGAGCAGGTAGACCGGGTGGCCAGTACGGAGCAGTCCGTGCGGCTGGCCAGTGCGGAGCAGGCAGAGCGGGTGGCCAGGGCAGAGCAGTCCATGGGGCTGGCCAGGGCGGAGCAGATAGTGCGGGTGGCCAGGGCGGAGCCGGTGGCCAGGGCAGAGCGGGTGGCCAGGGCGAAGCAGGTAGAGTGGGTGACCAGGGCGGAGCAGATAAAGCGTGTGGCCAGGGCAGAGCAGGTAGAACGGCTGGCCCGGGCGGAGCAGTCCGTGCGGAGCAGTCCGTGCGGAGCAGTCCATGCGGGTGGCCAGGGCGGAGAAGGTAGAGCGGGTGGCCAGAACGGAGCAGATAGAGTGGGTGGCCAGGGCGGCGCAGGTAGAGCAGGTGGCCAGGGCGGAGCAGGTAGAGCGGGTGACCCGGGCGGAGCAGGTAGAGCGGGCGGAACAGGTAGAGCGGGTAGAGCAGGTAGAGCGGGTAGAGTGGGGGGGTCAGGGCGGAGCAGGTAGAGTGGAGGGATGGGCCAGGGCAGAGGAGGTAGAGCGGGGGGGGGGGGGGGCCAGCGCAGAGCAGGTAGGGCGGGGGGGCCAGGGCGAAGTAGATAGAGCGGGGGGCCAGGGCGGAGCAGGTAGAGCGGGGGGGGGGCCAGGGCGGAGCAGGTAGAGCGGGGGGGGCCAGGGCGGAGCAGGTAGAGCGGGGTGGCCTGGGCGGATCACGGAGAGCGGGTGGCCAGGACGGAGAAGGTAGAGTGGGGGGCCAGGACGGAGCAGTCCATGCGGGTGGCCAGGACGGAGCAGGTAGAGCGGGTGGCCAGTGCGGAGCAGGTAGAGCGGGTGGCCAAGGCGGAAAAGGTAGAGTGGGGGGCCAGGACGGAGCAGTCCATGCGGTTGGCCAGGACGGAGCAGGTAGGTAGAGCGGGTGGCCAGTGCGGAGCAGGTAGAGCGGGTGCATGTTTTTGTCTGTGCCCTGATCTTGCAGTTAAACTCTGGATTCTGTCCAAGAACCCTCAATGCTGTCAAGTGAGGTCTATGCAGAATGAAAGAAGTCTTCTGATATGCATTTAAAAAACTACACAAGCTGTGGCTACATGAAAGGGGTAAGGGATGAAAAGTAGTAGTTATTGTCAATGTACAGGAAACCCAAGGTACTGCAGATTCAGTGTCTCTTACCACAGTAAATGTTGTGCTATCAGTTAACATTACCTTATTTTGTCATTGCAAACTGCCATGACCTTGTCAAGCGCAAGAAGACGCGAAAGAGAACTGAATTCGGCAATCACACATCCAAAGCGTGCAGAAAATGCTGCCTCTCAGATAGTGGAAAAATAATGAATTTAGTTCTCTTTCGCGTCGTCTTGTACTTGAAAGGACAAATATACACACAATTACGTCAAGATATTCTTGTAAACACAGCATAGGTTTTTAAGTCAATGTAAACAGTTGAGAAAGACAATGCGTGCATTACAGTACCAGGGCTGGATTTACCTCATATTGTGACAGTCTTAAAGTGACAGCAGCCTAATAATCCTGCTGCAATCAGTGTCATTAATGTTAACCAAAGAACAAAAGAAAAGGAAAATTACACACTTTAGCTTATTGGAATCGAAACTGGGAATCGGTAAGAATTAGAATTGCTAAAATTCTAATGATACCAACCCTATTCACTAACTGACTATAAATCAATAACAAAAAACAAAGAAAATGAAACGACACAAAAGTGTGGTCGCTACTTTTTAAATTATTTTTTAAATGTATTTTAGAGTGTCCTGCTTTTTCTTCATTTATATTTGTAAATCTAACTTCTCCTCATGACTTGGATTTGGATGAAAGTCTCTTGAAATTTTCCACATGAAAAACTTCTGGGAATTAATTTCTAGACATTGTCTACATTGTCATGTCTACTGATTTTCCAGATATGTATGAATTTGGGTTAGGGTTAATATTTTAAAAATTCTGTATATAAAAAAGACATTAAACAACATTATTTAAAATATGAGTGTATTATAGAAATCCACAGTACAGATCATTAGACAATAAACCCAGAACATACCCTGATTGACAGATTAGAAAAAAAAGAAGAAAATGTAGAGCAGCAAACACAGAGGAGCCCTAAACAAAATCTAAACAAAGTAAAAATCTAAACAAAACACTTTAAATAAATATGAAAAGAGCACTAAAATGGAAGTGTTTACTGATTTATTTTTTGTAAAAATTAAGTGTTGTTTGAAAGGTGTTTGATAAATCATTGGTTTCCAGTATTAAGATGCTTCCCCCACCGCCAATGAGATGTGAAGATCTTCATTTACGGACGATGTCATAATTTGCCGCTAACCAATCGCACGTCTCCTTGACGGCTGTAAAAGAAAAGCACTTATAAAGGTTCTTGTTTTGGTCTTCGGTTTTTACTACTATTGAAAAAAACATTTAGTTAATGCTGAAGCAAGAAGTGAAGATTAAATCACCTGCTTTGAACGGTGTGAACTTGAAGTCTGGCAGGTATTTGCGTAGTTTGGCGTTACTGGCTGTTTTCTTGATCTGGCCATCTGATTTACCAGTGTCATACTGAGAGCGGTTAGTTAAGGATTAAAGGGTTTCTGTCATTCAAGTGGTGCTTTTTTAAGCTCAACAGCTCAAGAACAATCGGTCGGGACATTCTGCAAAATATCTTATCTTGAGTTCCGTAGAACAAAGATTGCAGTTCGGTCACCTGTACAAAATAACTGCAGACAATGTTTACATTCAAAAGGATACAATCACTTCACCTTTAAACCCAAACCCTTCAACCACAGCGTCCACAGCATCCTTTATGGTCAACTCATCCTCCTCTCCGACTAGAGAGAAAGAAACAAAGACAAAGAAAATCAAGAGAGACATGATCTGGATATTTGATCAGCCATTGAGCTCTGATGAAACAGATCCAATATGTTTGATGTCAAACACTCGTCGAGTACCTGACGCAATGATGGGCTCCACCTCGTCATACTCCCTCAAAACCCACACAAAAAGACGAGCCAGATCCACAGAATAGATGAACTGACGCAGGGCGCGACCTGAACCCCAGACTTGCAGAGGTTTACCTTCCTCTACAAAACACACAAACACAGGCAAATTTACCAATATGTGGGATGCTCTGAATGTGACTGTGGCTTCAGATTGTTCTAGAAAGATAAACATGTCTTACTCTTTGCCAGGTACGTCTTGTGTACCAACCCCGGCATCACGTGGCAGTCCTCAATGTTGAAGTTATCATGTGGTCCAAATATGTTGGTAGGGATGACTGCTGTGTATCGCAGACCGTACTGCTGAAAACACGCCCTAATGAACAAACACACATACACACAATTAAAATACTGTATTTGGAAACATTTCAGGTACATATCAGTTTTTCTTAGGAAAACAAATTATTATTAATTATCATTAGCACATGTCAAACTCCAGTCCTGGAGGGCCACTGTCCTGCAGAGTTTAGCTCCGACCAGCTCCAAAACACTTGCCTGGTAGTTTCTAGTTGTCCTGAAGAACTTGATTAGCTTGATCAGGTGTGTTTAATTAGGGTTGAAGCTAAACACTGCAGGGCTGTGGGGCCATAGATATCCATAATAAAGGCTAGATGTCTCGTCCGCGCTGCTGGCCAATGGAGGTCGACGTCCACACCTGGCGGCCATCTTGTCACAGGCAGCTCGCTCACTCGTAACATTGTGTTTTAATGGTGCATGCACTTTTTAAATAACCATAACTTGCTCAATTTTGTACCGATTTTCAAATGGTTTGGTTTGTTATAAACGTCAGAGATGTAGTTATGATACTGCATACTTATGAATAATAAGTGTATCAATAAACAGTCATCCAGAATTATGGCCGCATTAACAACGTTTGTAAGAAACCAAATCGTTTGTAAATCCGTCAAGATTTCAACGAGATAAGAGTATTTGTGTTCGTGCTGATCACTCATCTTACATCAGGTACCACAGAGCCCGCCAGAAAGCTTGCCTGTGACAAGATGGCCACCGGGGATGACGATAGAGACTCCGCCGTAAGACATCTAGCCTTTATTATGGATATCTATGTGTGTGGCCCTCCAGGAACTTGGTAAACTATCGGCCAGCAGCCATCACCCTGTAGCCCAAGACTGGTTGCCCACTGAAGCTAAGCAGGGTTGAGCCTGGTTAGTACCTGGATGGGAGACCTACTGGGAAAACTAGGTTGCTGCTGGAAGAGGTGTTAGTGGGGCCAGCAGGGGGCGCTCACCCTGTGGTCTGTGTGGGTCCTAATGCCCCATTAGTGATGGGGACACTATACTGTCAAAGAGCACCGTCCTTCGGATGAGACGTTAAACCGAGGTCCTGACTCTCTGTGGTCACAAAAAATCCCAGGATGTCTTTGGAAAGAGTAGGGGTGTAACCCCGTCATCCTGGCCAAATTTGCCCCTTGGCTTCTGTCCATCATGGCCTCCTAATCATACCCATATATATACTAATTGGCTTCATCACCCTGTCTCCTCTCCACCAATAATCTGGTGTGTGGTGGGCGTTCTGGCGCAATATGGCTGCCGTCGCATCATCCAGGTGGAGCTGCACATTGGTGGAGGTTGAGGAGATTCCCACTTCTATGTAAAGCGCTTTGAGTGCCGAGAAAAGCGCTATATAAATGTAATGAATTATTATTATTATTACGAAACCCTCTCTCTTGGGTAGGCCTACTGTACATTATATAATGTTAAAATTAACAGTAGAGCCAAAACTATTAAAATCAACTGCTATATATTTTCAGATATAATAACCCACACTCAAATAACAACTTTGTTGTATACAATCGTTTAAATTGCGCATATGCAATATTTCTTTTAAATAAACCTTCTAATGATATACAGTTATTGTTCAACCCCCATTGCAAATCAGGTTTATTGGCAAGATTTACAGACTTTCAGCTGTTTGCAATGAACAAATCAAACAAAAGTATTTGAAATAGCTCAACACAACAAATGTTTCAAGTGGTTTCCCCAAATTCAACTGAAAATGCAACTTGTAATGACTTCTGCAGTCTCAAAATTATTCATTATTCAGTGTATATACACTGCCCTGCCCAAAACAAAGTCGCTGTTTAGATTTAAAAAGGCAAATTCTTAAGAGTTTATGATTGGATCATTATTGCAGTGATTATGTTTGTAGCAGGATATATGTTTGGCAACAGTTCTTCTAGGCCTAATTGATGGAATGTATAGTTTTTCATTTCTTAAACAATACATGTAGGAAGACACATCATGGCCATATTTCAGGATGACAATGTCAAGATTCATCAGGCTCAGATTGTGAAAGAATGGTTGGGAGGAGCATAAAGAATCATTTTCACCCCTGAGTCCTGAACTTAAAGTCATTGAAAGTCTTTGGGATGTGCTGGAGGAGACTTTACAGAGTGCTGGACTCTTGCATTGCCAATACAAGCTCTTGATCAAAAATGTATGCACCCCTTGATGGAAATAAATGTTGTGATGTTATTGATATCAAGAGGTGTATTTATTGGTACTTTTGGTAATTTTAGGACTTACTAATTTACTTAATTATAACATTGCATACTCATAACGAGCATACTTATTACAGGATCTTAGTGCTGCATTTGATACTATCGACCACAACATTCTTTTGAATAGACATGTTCGAAATTTGAAAATTATGTTGGCAAAATTATGTATTATATTGGCATGATTTAAGCCATACTTATCTGACCGTTGTCAGTTTGTAACAGTAAATAAAGAGATGTCATGCTGATCACAATTTCAGTATGGAGTACCGCAAGGCTCAGTACTAGGACCTTTTATTTTCACTCTGTACATGCTACCCTTGGGAGATATCATTAGGAAGCATGGCGTGAGATTTCACTGTTATGCTGATGATACTCTATATTTCTTCACACCCTGACGAAACTTACCAATTCACAAAATTAACAGAAAGCGTAGATGATAAAAAATTGGACGACTAGTAATTCCCTACTTTGCTCTGAATGCCAAATGTGGAACAGTTAGTTCATGCGTTCATGACCTCAAGGCTAGATTATTGTAATACTCTACTGGGTGGTTGACCTGCACGCTTAATAAACAAACTCCAGCTGGTTCAAAACGCAGCAGCAAGAGTTATTACTAGAACCAAAAAGCATGACCATAGCCCGGTTCTGTTAACACTGCATTGGTTCCCTATTAAGCATTGTATACATTTTAAAATCTTGCTGATTACTTGCAAATCACTAAATGGTTTAACTACCTAGTACTTGAGCGAGCTCTTAATGCATTATAGTCCTTCACGTCTATTGCAATCTCGAAATTCTGGCCAGTTGATAATAATACCTAGAATATCAAAATCAACTGCAAGTGGTAGATCCTTTTCCTATTTAGCACCTAAACTCTGGAACAGTCTTCAAAGCATTGTTCGGGAACCAGACACACTGTCAGTTTAAATCTAGAGTACTAAGCACATCTCTTTAACCTGGCTTACACATTATCAATTTCTATAACTCAAATCAGTTAAATGATTGTAGGCTGGATAAATTAGGTCAGCCGGAAACCGGGAACGCTTCCTTTAACACCTGGTTTACTCGTTACATCAGAAGAAGAATTACATTTACGCTAATATTAGTCTTAGGACCTGTGCCTAGACACACAACGACATGACCACAACTCAGGCCTGAATGTCAGCCGAGATTGTGTCAACTAGACTCTCCCATTTAAAGACCTCATCAACACAACAGCCAGTGGCACTGATCTTCAATAAACCTGTCTCCATACCGGCGTGATGAATCCGATCTTCAAACAGATGGAACTGGATAAATATTTTGAATGCTCCTGATCCACAATCTGACTTCTGACCTGTAATGCTGCCTGAATCTTCATCATGTTTAGTTTTTTGGCCTGAGGAGAACTGGTCCCTCGACTGAGCCTGGTTATTCCCAAGGTTTCTTTCTCCATTCTGTCACCTGATGGAGTTTGGGTTCCTTACCATTGTTGCCTATGGCTTGCTTACGGACAGTTAATATTTAACAATATTACTGATCTGCCTGCATTGACACCATTGTATGAGAACTGAACTGAGCTGGACGATGACATCATTGTTTTCTCTAGAGCTGTTGTATAGATAATTTAACTAAATTAATAACTTTTTATACAACATAAATGAATCAGCACTGAACTTACTTAAGCTGGACAATGAACCCATTTTCTTCTGGAGCTGCTGTACAGCCAAAACAAACTTTGTTGCATTATTTTCCTGTTAGCACTGTAAAGCTGCTTCCTTATCCTGCTTCTACCTCATTGCCAGTTTGCTGCTCTGGTTTGGCAGTATGTCCATCTTCCAGAGCTTCTCCACATTCTGCATCAGCTCCGTCGTCTGGGGTGAGACACTAGTGTTAAAACACTGCTGGGTGTTTAGTGCCCACTAGGTAAGGTGTGCAGGTCCTTGAAGTGTCCATTCCAGTCTCTTATGAATGGTTGCTGGACCTCCAGGAGGAGCCATTCTCTCTGGCTCGATAGGGGTAATTAGATGGGGCCCAGGCCCAGTTTGTCAACTGTCTCAGGGAGGATCATTGTGCACTCTGACCCATCATCCAGAACTGCTTAAGTGTCAAGAGTCCCGCCTCTTTTTGCACAGGAGAACTCTTACGGCTTTCAGCAGAACACGAGAGTGGGCAGATGGTCTGTCCAGGTAGAGACTGTTCATACTGGTGCTCACTAGACAACCTTCAGCCTTCGGCTGCTCAGTGTTGGGGCATGCGTTGGCATCATGCAGGACTCTCAGATGCTTCCCTTGACACACATCACAGAGCCTCTTGAGATCCCATTGCGCTGCTTGATGTGCTCTCCCGCATCTCCTTTAACTCTGATCCACTCTATGACCTCCTCTCTGGTGAGCTTCTGAAGCAAATGGGAATCCCCAAAGTTTTTTTGCTGAACATTCTTCTTTTTTTTTCTTTTTTCTTCTTTAGTACTAATATATTTTGGAATTCCAAAGCTGACACACAAATAATTTAACAAATGCATAAATAAATATACAAAGAAATGTGAAAAAAGAAGAGTGTATATATATATATATCTTTTTTTATTTTTTGTGTTTTTGAACAATCGTCTGAATGACTGATTAAACTCAGTCACTAATTAAAACAGTGACTTGCTGCCACCTACTGTCTGTTTTAGTTTCATATTTAAAAGTATAATTTCATTGTTTCCATTTCATATTTCTACATTCAAAATGTTATATTTCCAAAATTAATCTCATTACATTATTTATGCACTTGTAACTGCAGTGTAAATTGCAATTGGGTTTTTTCAGAAAAGTTTGTTTCTGTCGCTGTCAATGTTGTTTTTGGAAGTTACATAAAAAAATGCAGTTGCCTCAAAAATCTGAGGGGGCTCGACAGGTGCTGTCTACAATGTATGGCATGAGATGCTTATTTCACTTACATAAGCACTTTTGTTTGATTGAATCCCGAATAATTCCAATTGATGATTTGGCCTAAGACGTGTGATTAATCAGTATCTAAGAGCAGGATCTTTGAAATATGAACGCAAATAACGGCGCGCTTGTTCAATTGGATTGAAGCAATAGCGAAGATTGGTTAACAGAAAAGACATTGTTATTTTCCAACATCCTACATTTTTTTAATGTTCTTTGTACAGTATTGATCTGTCCACCTAAAACACATTTTTAGTGAAAAGGATGAGGATGAAAGAGGAAGGGAGGAGATGGCTAGACAGGGTTTTGTTTGAATAAGAAATGAATGTATGAAATCCAAATGTTATGATGTAATAAATATAAGCTGTGACATAGTTAATCTGGTTTAATTCTTTTTTCTTTTTCTTTTTTTGCTAAGTAGAAGTTCTGAATAGCTGGTAACTTAAAAATGTAGAAGCCAAATTGGCCAGTGAGTGAAAAAGTTAATTTCAAACCCTGTTTGTAGGTGAAGAATGAGACATGGACATGACATGACCCCGCCCCATGTGACTTCATGACCTCATCAGCCACTCCCACTGTAAACAAATAGCCTAAGACCCAATGGGTTTATTTAAAATAAAGCTAAATTTCATAATAGACGTGATCTGAGATACACCCATTCAAGAACCAATTAACTTTGACACTAAGAGATCAAATCTCACCTGTTGTGGACATCAATCATGCGTTTGGCGTAGGCATAACCGTAATTAGACTCATGTGGGGCACCGTTGTGCATCTGACAAAGACAGAAAGAGAGAAACACGTCTGTAGAAGTTACAGAAACACAATTACTGCAAATAGACTCATGAAACCAATCAGACACTGGCTTAAATCACTCACATCCATGCGTTTTCAATTAGTATTTCTCACCATGATGGGACGGGACAAACACCCAACAGGTATTTTTTACATAAATTTTGGCGCAAATGTTTTATAAATTATTATATAAATAAATTCAATTAATGCTTTCGAGTTTCTGACATCAAAAACCCAAAGGTCGTTTTTACAGTTGAGTCTTTATTTACTGTGAAGGAAATTTGAGTTGAATTAATGAATATCAAAATATCAAGAAACACATCTTGTGATGATTTTTGCAAAGGAAAACATACCCAACATCTGGTTATTAAAGTGTTGTCATGGTTGGGTGACTGTAATGAAAACGCAGGAGGAAGGAGTAAACGACAAAAGCAGTTTTTAAAGGTGCAGTATGTAATATTAACAGCTAGCGGTTGAAATGGATAATGCAGGCCACATTTAAAATAGTGGAGAGATGTTTCCCCGCCCCGTCCTCCTCAGACTTGATGCTCACGCTCGACACTCACTCGAGGACATGCAACAGGAGCGTGCGCAATCCACAATGGAAGGCGGGGAGACTTACGTAGTTGATTTATCCGTGTTTTAATATGCTCCCATTTTTAGATGGATGCCAAGGCTTTCTGACCCAGTTCATTTGCTGGCTTTCATGGCTGCAATACGCTGTGTTTTCTGCCAACTGGCAATCCAGGTTGTCGAAATACTATTGGGTGAATTGGCAGTAGGCGGAGTCACACAGACCAAAACAAAATCAGACATTCTGACACGGAAATGCACATTTCAAAGTAAAATAACTGGCTGTAGAAGTGTTTTTCAGTGAAACGAGTATGTGAACTTAGCATGTTTCTTAAATCTCTGCAAAGATATTTTGGTATTTTTATGCTTTAGTACAGTCAAAAAAATAACATACAGGACCTTCTGAATCAAAACATCACACTCAAAGTAAAATAGTGCTGAACTTTATTACAAAAATAAACAGTATTGACTGATGCATGAATAAATAAATATTAATATACACTCACCTAAAGGATTATTAAGAACACCATACTAATACTGTGTTTGACCCCCTTTCGCCTTCAGAACTGCCTTAATTCTACGTGGCATTGATTCAACAAGGTGCTGAAAGCATTCTTTAGAAATGTTGGCCCATATTGATAGGATAGCATCTTGCAGTTGATGGAGATTTGTGGGATGCACATCCAGGGAACGAAGCTCCCGTTCCACCACATCCCAAAGGTGCTCTATTGGGTTGAGATCTGGTGACTGTGGGGGCCATTTTAGTACAGTGAACTCATTGTCATGTTCAAGAAACCAATTTGAAATGATTCGAGCTTTGTGACATGGTGCATTATCCTGCTGGAAGTAGCCATCAGAGGATGGGTACATGGTGGCCATAAAGGGATGGACATGGTCAGAAACAATGCTCAGGTAGGCCGTGGTATTTAAACGATGCCCAATTGGCACTAAGGGGCCTAAAGTGTGCCAAGAAAACATCCCCCACACCATTACACCACCACCACCAGCCTGCACAGTGGTAACAAGGCATGATGGATCCATGTTCTCATTCTGTTTACGCCAAATTCTGACTCTACCATCTGAATGTCTCAACAGAAATCGAGACTCATCAGACCAGGCAACATTTTTCCAGTCTTCAACTGTTCAATTTTGGTGAGCTCTTGCAAATTGTAGCCTCTTTTTCCTATTTGTAGTGGAGATGAGTGGTACCCGGTGGGGTCTTCTGCTGCTGTAGCCCATCCGCCTCAAGGTTGTGCGTGTTGTGGCTTCACAAATGATTTGCTGCATACCTCAGTTGTAACGAGTGGTTATTTCAGTCAAAGTTGCTCTTCTATCAGCTTGAATCAGTCGGCCCATTCTCCTCTGACCTCTAGCATCAACATGGCATTTTCGCCCACAGGACTGCCACATACTGGATGTTTTTCCCTTTTCACACCATTCTTTGTAAACCCTAGAAATGGTTGTGCGTGAATATCCCAGTAACTGAGCAGATTGTGAAATACTCAGACCGGCCCGTCTGGCACCAACAACCATGCCACGCTCAAAATTACTTAAATCACCTTTCTTTCCCATTCTGACATTCAGTTTGGAGTTCAAGAGATTGTCTTGACCAGGACCACACCCCTAAATGCATTGAAGCAACTGCCATGTGATTGGTTGATTAGATAATTGCATTAATGAGAAATTGAACGGGTGTTCCTAATAATCCTTTAGGTGTATATATTAATTAAAACATTACAGGACAAATGTATGTGTGTGTGTGTGTGTGTGTGTTTATTAAAATACACTAGAAACATGTCATGTAAATTTAATAAGTAACACTTCACAACAAGCTACCATTTAAACTAACTTTCATGAACTAACAATGTGAAATATTTTGACAACGTTTATTGGTATTTGTAAAAAAAAAAATTAATTGACGTTAGTTTCTTTAGTGCATTAATCAAACATAAGTTTTGTAAATGTATTAGTAGTAAATTATTGAAATTGACATGACCTAACAATAAACAATACTTCTACAGCATTTATTAATCTAAGTTAATGGCACCGACAACCTGTCCATCATCTTTAAATATCAACACTATAAGACCAGGCCTGGTTCCAGAATCAAATCACAGAGGGTGTGTGTGTGTGTGTGTGCGTGTGCGTGTGTATGTGTGTGTTTACCATGGTCTCATCTATCGGGTAGGTGGTTTTATCTGGAAAAACACACGTAGACAGACAAGAAACGACCTTCACCACCCCGAACTCCTGAGACATGTACAGCACATTGTCATTGATGTGCACATTATCTCTCTGAAAACAACAAAACAATACAGTCAACGTACAGTTCAATTATCCAACAGTGATATTTCCAACCTTATACTACTGATAATAATTACCCAGAAGTCCAGGTTCTGTCTCATGTTTTTGTAGAGCCCACCCACCATGGCGGCCAAATGAATGACGTGTGTCGGACGATGCTTCTGGAAAACTGATCTCGTCTCTTCAGCGCTCCTGAAACACCACATGGAAATACAGTTATCATGCATTTGACACAAATGAAAACTATTTTATTTGAGCTTATTCTTTGTATATATATTCCATTCATAAACTAATATGATGCTTGTAAACACTAAGAAAGAACAAAATAAAATATAACAATTAAATAAGCTAATTCGGTTAAGTGATTAGGGAACATTGCAGTTTTTTATAACTTGCGCTTAGAATATAAAGTACATGATATATGTGATGATTTGATATTGTATTGATTATTGGTGTATGCGAAATCTAATTGTAATCTATTCAATTTTATTATTTTTATGGATGTCTTTTATTCATTTTTCCTTATTAATCTTTTCCTTAAGAATTCTATTACATGATTTTTCCTGTACATGTTAATGATTTCTCCGGGTGTATTTTCCTTCAGAATTGATTGTATGATGTGCCTTGGTATCAAAGTTCATCTGTTTTCATCTCTGCAGACATGAGATAATGCAAGATCTGCTATATTCTCTTAAAAGTGTTAAAACCATAATTTCTTGGGGCAGACTTGCACTTTCACTCTTGACGTCACTAGCGAACAAAATTCAACATGAACCGTATGCATATATTTTTTGTCGATATATAATTAAATGCTATGTTTAGACTTTAAATCACTGATATGCAATTTCTGTCAGGACCACTATCATCAAATACGATTGACAATTAGCATATAGTTTGGATTGGCGGTGTGGTTCTGTTCTGGGCGAGAACTCCTGGTAACGCTTCCTTTTACAGTCCTGTTTCCCATGTAGTACATACTATGTACTTACTATAGTAATTACAATTACTGGGTAATAACTAGGCACTTACCCTGAACCTACCCCTAAACCTATCCCTAACCCATGTACTTACCTTATATTAGCCAGTACTTTCTAGGTAAGTACACTGTAAGTACACGTAAGTACTGTACTGTAAAAGGAAGCGTTACCGAACTCCCTACGCATCCATGCAGTCTAGCAGCAATAACTAGTATAATGAGTTTCTTTCTTCTGCTGAACACAAAGGAAGATATTTTGAAGAACGATTGGAACTTTGGCACCATTGACTTCCATAGTATTTTTTTTTTTCTACTATGGAAGTCAATGGTGCCAAACAACTGTTTAGTTCCAATCGTTCTTCAAAATATCTTCCTTTGTGTTCAGCAGAAGAAAGAAACTCATACAGGTTTGCAACAACTTGAGGGTGAGTAAATGAGACAGAATTTTCATTTTTGGGTGGAGTATCTCTTTAATGAGTAATGTGTGTGTTTTGACTCTATTCTCTTAATGAGTAATGTGTGTGTTTTGTCTCCATTCTCTTAATGAGTAATGTGTGTGTTTTGTCTCTATTCTCTTAATGAGTAATGTGTGTGTTTTGTCTCTATTCTCTTAATGAGTAATGTGTGTGTTTTGTCTCCATTCTCTTAATGAGTAATGTGTGTGTTTTGTCTCGCAAAGGATTAAATTCATCACAATTATTTAATGAATGAAGCACACAAATTTTTTTACAACAAAGCCCTAAAACTGGCAATTAATCGGCATAACTGCAATTATTTTTTAGACAATTAATCGTCTGCCAAATTTCATAATCGTGACAGGCCTAATTGGAAGAAAATGTTTTGGTCCTGAGACTTCCACAGAAGATATATGTAATTTTATATATATATATATATATATATATATATATAGACCACTTCTATTATTGATTACTGTCAGGATGTGAAGTGTGAAGAGAGTTTCAACCAGAATAAAAAAACCTGTATAAAAAAAATAATTGCCTACCCTACCTTTAATGGTTGCACGAGAAGTACAAAGAATTTAAATACTTTCCCTTCTTTACTTTTCCCTAGTCCCTTACTGTTACAGATGCACGGCAATAAAAGACTCTTTAAAAAGGCTTCTTCTCTTTTTCCTCTCCTTGCATTCTGCAGATATCTTACTTTTTTGGGCCTGGAAAGTATTCTTACTTTACACTCTGATCTTCACAAACTTCATATGTTAAATACACTACTTTGAATTTTTATAATCTATTGATCTATAAGATTTATTTTTATTTTTTGTTATTACAATTTAACATTGATTTGATTCATTTGTCATCTATATAATTTGACATTTTATTTAATAAAATGTGTTATTCCTTATTCAAAATTTGATCTCTGACATAATCATTGCTCATCTGCCTGGATCTCACTGCATCAATTATGTTGTGATGTCTGATGAGGGTTTTCTTACACAAGATTGGCATCTTTGGATGAGAGGAATATCCATTCTTCTCCTTCTCTCCCTTCGCCCTCTTTCACCACTCGCTCTATCGCTCGTCCCACCAGCCCACTGCCACCCGTCACCAACACACGCATCGGCCCGTCCATCTGAAAGAGAGAGAGATGAGGTTTGATGAACACTTCAGGGGTTAACAAATGTGTAAATACATCAGATATCCATTGATACGTACTATAATAGCACAGTCTTTTTATACGGGTTTATTTGATCTCAGTCCTATCACATCTTTTTTTCTCTTCCTCTTCAGCTCACAATGAATCACATGCAGAGAAAACGCCCTTGGTTGCTTATACAACCCGGTGTCTGAACACATGTAAACATGCTAATCTATTGGCAGATGGCAGGGCATGATGTCATACTAAAATGATGCCTGTGCGAATAAAAGGCCACGAATTTACATGTAAACAAATCTTTTGTCTGAAGGAGACTTGCAGTAGGGTTGGGTTATGTCTTGGGGATGTCATTTTCCACAACAATACATTAATAGTTTGTAAAATACACAATGGAGTATATTCAGTGTTTTTAACCACATAATGTTTATTTTAGGTTTCAGACATTTAAATACATATAAAATTTAGCAGAACAATACTTTTATAGTTCTATTCAGTGTTTTTAACCACATAATGTTCATTTTAAGTTTCAGACATATAATTTTTAGCAAAACAATACATTTACAGTTCGTAAAATACACAATGGTGTCTATTCGGTGTTTTTAACCACATAGCTAATGTTTATTTTAGGTTTCAGACATTTAAATACATATAATATTTAGGAAAATAATACATTTATAGTTTGTAAAATACACAATGGTGTCTATGGAAGCAGCAATAACAATCCATTCACATATATTTGCCGACTTGTTTTATTCAAATCAGATACACAGTGTAACTATAAAATTGACTCTTTTCCTCTCCCAGTTCACCGCCACTTTCATGATTTTCGGGAGAAACGGATGAATTCACGTGATGTAATAAATCCAACAGACGGGAATCTCAAACAAACATGGTGGCATTTATAAAGGGTTTTAAACGACAAAACAAAGTCACTTACACGTATTTGAGAATCGGAATAGAAGATTGTTGATGACATGGGAAGCAAGTTTGTTAATATTTAGATATAAAAGCGCTTGCCTTCATCTGTCATACAGGGGGTGTTGACGCTAGCGCAGGGATAGAGAAATTGCAGCTTCGGTCCTGGAGGGCCACTCTCCTGCAGAGTTTAGCTCCAACCCTAATGAAACACACCTGAACAAATCAAGGTTTTCAGGATTACTAGATAGATAGATAGCCTACAGGCAGGTGAGTTTTTATCAGGGCTGAAGCTAAACTCTGCAGGACAGTGGTGCTTGTCACTGCCAAAGATTTCCCCTATATGGCTGAACTTGATGTGATTATTATCAAATAGGCTAAATATTAGCTAATGAGACCATGCATGAAAAAAAATCCAAGTAGCCTATAAACAGCTTTATCAAAGAATAGCGTCAAAAACGGGCAAACCATGACATTGGATGAATCATTGCATAGTTCTGTTAAAATGTGTATGAAACCCAACCCGATCTCACGACCAATTCGATGAACCCCCTAATGCTGTCAAGTGAGGTCTATGCAGAATGCAAGACGTTTTCTGATATGCATAAAAAAAAACCCCACAAACTAGAAACATGACAGGGGTTGGAAAGTAGTGGTTATTTTCAATTATGAAACTCAGTTTTAGTTAGACACTTTTTTTTGCTATAGACCATCAGTTAACAGTTTCTGTTCAAAATCTGAATGTGTGAGACGTGACGTTCTTTCTTTCACACAGGAAGCACCTATAATCTTTGACCTATATTTTTTTAATTATCTGCATCGGCCAATAAGTATACACTCACCGGCCACTTTATTAGGTACACACCTGTCCAACTGCTCGTTAACACCTAATTTCTAAGCAGCCAATCACATGGCGGCAACTCAGTGCATTTAGGCATGTAGACATGGTCAAGACAATCTCCTGCAGTTCAAACCGAGCATCAGTATGGGGAAGAAAGTTAATTTGAGTGACTTTGAACGTGGCATGATTGTTGGTGCCAGAAGGGCTGGTCTGAGTATTTCAGAAACTGCTAATCTACTGGGATTTTCACACACAACCATCTCTAGGGTTTACAGAGAATGGTCCGAAAAAGAAAAAACATCCAGTGAGCGGCAGTTCTGTGGGCGGAAATGCCTTGTTGATGCCAGAGGTCAGAGGAGAATGGCCAGACTGGTTCGAGCTGATAGAAGGGCAACAGTGACTGAAATAACCACTCGTTACAACCGAGGTATGCAGCAAAGCATTTGTGAAGCCACAACACGCACAACCTTGAGGCGGATGGGCTACAACAGCAGAAGACTCCACCGGGTACCACTCATCTCCACTACAAATAGGAAAAAGAGGCTACAATTTGCAAGAGCTCACCAAAATTGAACAGTTGAAGACTGGAAAAATGTTGCCTGGTCTGATGAGTCTCGATTTCTGTTGAGACATTCAGATGTTAGAGTCAGAATTTGGCGTAAACAGAATGAGAACATGGAACCATCATGCCTTGTTACCACTGTGCAGGCTGGTGGTGGTGGTGTAATGGTGTGGGGGATGTTTTCCTGGCACACTTTAGGCCCCTTAGTGCCAATTGGGCATCGTTTAAATGCCACGGCCTACCTGAGCATTGTTTCTGACCATGTCCATCCCTTTATGGCCACCATGTACCCATCCTCTGATGGCTACTTCCACCATGTCACAAAGCTCTAATCATTTCAAATTGGTTTCTTGAACATGACAATGAGTTCACTGTACTAAAATGGCCTCCACAGTCACCAGATCTCAACCCAATAGAGCATCTTTGGGATGTGGTGGAACGGGAGATTCGCATCATGGATGTGCAGCCGACAAATCTGCGGCAACTGTGTGATGCCATCATGTCAATATGGACCAAACTCCCTGAGGAATGCTTCTAACACCTTGTTGAATCTATGCCACGAAGAATTGAGGCAGTTCTGAAGGCAAAAGGGGGTCCAACCCGTTACTAGCATGGGGTACCTAATAAAGTGGCCGGTGAGTGTATATAATAGCCCTATATTTTTCTGTTTGGCCGATGTTTTGAAACTTTTATTTTGACTCAGCGCCAGAGCAAACAACGCTTCTATTCTCCGTCTTCATTAGCTATGGTCTAATGTGTTACTAGACCTGTTTAACACCGTAAACTGAATACGAAAAACTATTAGTTGATTAGCTGAATACGAAAAACTATTAGTTGATTAGTAACAGAAATCAAACGTCTAGGTCGTGATTAAAAGATGGCTAATTCGTAACAATTCGTACGACCTCACTCATACGAATTACTACGATTTTTGCTAAAACGTACATATTTGACGAGTTGCCCAATTCGTATGAATTCGTACGAATGACCTACCCCTGACCCCGCCCCTAAACCTACCCATCACGTGGGTTTAGACAAATCGTACAAATTCGTACGAATGAGGTCGTACGAATTCGTACGAATTAGCCATCTTTTAATCACTCGTCAAATTCGGACGAATTGGTCGTGAGATAGCTAACCCCGTTCCCTGAGGGAGGAAACACTGAACTAATGAATTGGGATCTCGCCTGAAAGCCAACGCACCTTCGAGTGTACCGTAAAACTTCAAATAGTAGCCCGGGCTTTTATTTTCCCAAATCGTCGAACTGCACCGGCTTGTAGGCCTATTTGAGACAGGCGTCTATATGAGACAGGCCTTTATAATTTAGTGTTCAGATGTTGTTCATTGAGTGTATAGGCCTGTCTCTAATCTCTAAAAATCTCCAAATGCTCCGTGCGTGAAACTGCGGTCTTGCGACCTTTTACTATCGCGTCAATTGATTTAGATTAATATGCGCGAGGGAGAGAGCAAGACAGCGCTCGTGTTGTTTGAAGACGTGAGAGTTCGCGCGCGCGCGGCCGGGGCGCTCTCTCTCTCTCTCTCTGTTCGTACGCGCCCTGTCATTCAAGCGCAGCAGTCATTCTATTCTACATCACTTACCGATCAAAAAAGGCTTTGGAGGGACAAAAATTTGCTTTGGCGGCCGCGAAAAAGCGGACGATCTGACGGGTTTAAATGCATTAAATACAACCCGAAACTATAACAGACCCGGTCTCTATTTGAGACCGGCCTTTATTTACCCAAACTTGCAGCCACACCAGGCGTGTAAAAGAGACAGGCGTCTATTTGGGACTCGGCTATTATTTGAAGTTTTACGGTAAACTAAACGAGCCAATGGAGATTAGTGGACGAGATTTGCATTACAAACTAGGGATGCGCTGATACCATTTTTTTCAGAACCGATCCGATACCAAAAATTATCGGCCGATACAAATACCAATCCGATATCAGAGCAGTTTTTTTTACCTCTTCGTGTTGAACTGATTATCACTCTTTTGTGTTAAACATCATTATAAAGAAAAACAACAAGTGAAAAAATTATATAATCATAATCTATGACAAAATACTATTATAAACTAAATTAGTGGAAAATTCAGCAACAAAAGTTACTTTAGAAAAATGATGAGTGCACAATAATTGTATTAAATCTAAACATTAAAAAAAACATTATTTCGAGAAGATGGAGAACAAATAAAAGAATACACTCACCGGCCACTTTATTAGGTACCCCATGCTAGTAACGGGTTGGACCCCCTTTTGCCTTCAGAACTGCCTCAATTATTCGTGGCATAGATTCAACAAGGTGCTGGAAGCATTCCTCAGGGAGTTTGGTCCATGTTGACATGATGGCATCACACAGTTGCCGCAGATTTGTCGGCTGCACATCCATGATGCGAATCTCCCGTTCCACCACATCCCAAAGATGCTCTATTGGGTTGAGATCTGGTGACTGTGGAGGCCATTTTAGTACAGTGAACTCATTGTCATGTTCAAGAAACCAATTTGAAATGATTAGAGCTTTGTGACATGGTGGAAGTAGCCATCAGAGGATGGGTACATGGTGGCCATAAAGGGATGGACATGGTCAGAAACAATGCTCAGGTAGGCCGTGGCATTTAAACGATGCCCAATTGGCACTAAGGGGCCTAAAGTGTGCC